TTGTAAGTATCCTTTAAAGAATGATGATTGCTTGAACACAAAAACGTTTTTGTCATCACAGATAAGGTAGACTCCAAAAAAAACATAACAACAACCAACACTCAAAAGCATAACCTGCCCCTTTAGAATCTTCTTTCTTAGGACCATCCACTACTAAGGACAGACACACCCATTAATCCAACTTTTGAGGAATATTGATGAATTGCTGACAATGTCATAGGAAGGTTTAAAGGTACAACCTCCCATCAACACTTAACACTCCAATTTCCTAATCCCTAAGAATACTGCATTGAATAATACACTGACTTCCTCCATGATAGCAGTTCTTCACAGATAAAGTCTTGGCCAGTTTGGGTTGTTTATAACAGAATTTCATAAACTGTGCACTTTAAACAATAAATATTTATTTTTCCACAATTAAGAATGCCTGGAAGCCCAAAGTTAGGATGCTAGTAGACCCAGTTTCTGATAGGGTTCCTTTTACAAATGTGCAGATGGTGTTGTCTTTTTTTTTTTTTTTAACTGAAATGATGACTAAAAAAAATCATTTCTCACCAGCTTCTTCCTCTAATGGCACTAATTCCTGGGGGCACCATCCCTCTGACCTAAGTATCTCCCAAGACCCCCACTTCTTAATACCATGCTCATTAGAGCATGGGATATCAACAAATGAATTGAGAACCAAAAGTATTCAGACTATAACAGAGGTTGTATTACAAATATATTTCCAATATATTGCCAAAAGTCTTCATACATAAAATCTCAGTGGCATAATATAAAGCAGTCATTGCTCACACATCAGGAGGCAGCTAGGGATCTGCTGCAAGGCTTCACACATCAGGAGGCAGCTAGGGATCTGCTGCAAGGCTGTATAGCTTCTGGCTAGGCTTATTCTTTTGGTTATGTGCCAAATGTCTGTCTATTGATCCAGATCAAGCTCCATTGGGATGACTGAACATCTCAACTCTCCTTCATGCATTCATCATGTTCCAGCAGGCCACTTCGGGCATGTTTTCACAGAGAAACAAAGCCACAGGAAAGAGTAAAGCCTAGTTGCAGGCTTCAAAGCCTCAAACTGAAATTTCTGCTTCTATTGACCAGGTACATGGGCAAGAAGAGAAACACAGGAAACATCAGTTATATAGTAAACAAAATTCTTGAGGGTATCTATTAACAGGAGTCAGGGCTCATTTAAGTAGAGGGAAAGATCAGGGTCATATTGACAGCTAATATATTATTTTCCTCATCCAATTCATCATAAATCCTGGAAACTCTACCTTAGAAATACTTTCCACAGCTGTCATATTTTCTTTTGTGACTACAACTAGAGTACCCTGTCTTGCCTACAGACCTCTCTCTCTCTCTCTCTCTCTCTCTCTCTCTCTCTCTCTCTCTCTCTCTC